CAATGATTCACAACATCATCCATCGTCACTCTTACTTCCTTTCTCCTCGCTCCCTTTAATTTTTTTTGTGAGAAACAGTTCTGCATTCCAGCAAGAACAACTCTCCCCCCCCCCCCCCCTTTTTTTTTCTGCCTGTACGACAACCCCCCCCCCCCCCCCCCCCCCTTCGCTTCTAGCTCGTCGCATTGTTGCTGTACTATAGACCAGTGTCCGCGCCAATTCCAGGGCGCCGCCATGGATGGATGGATGGATGGATGGATGAATACGGCTGAGCCCTTTGGATCGGGCGGTAGCTTACGCCACCTAGCCATTTTGTTTTACCATTTAAGCTTAGAATATTTAAATGTGAAATCTATATTCACTTCGCAGTGCAAAGAAAGTGAGGCTATGAAACCCCCTTGCCATCAGTGAATAAGAAAATACCTAGTTTTCTCTCGATTTCTGCCACCATTCACTTAATCTTTGCTTGGTAATCTCTACAGTCTTGAAATCCACTCTCCCTTCGCTGTCTCTAAAACCCAATGACTTTATTAAATCTATGTTGTCTTCGGTAGGCATAGGGTGAAGCCCTTTACAGTAGAGTATCAAGTGCTCAGCCGTCTCGTTCTCCTCTCCACAAGCAGTGCACACTGTATCAATTTCCTGGTACTTCACTCTGTATGTTCTGGTTCGCAGAACACCCGTTCTTGCCTCAAACAGCAATGAGCTTCCCCTAGAATTGTCATAAATGCTTTCTTTGGCAATAACTCTTTTGTTTAATCTATAGCTTTCCAGGGCCGTCTTTGTCTGCATTCCCTCTAGCCACCGATCTCTTTCTGTGGCCTTAACTTTCTTCTTAACTGAGACTTGCTCTTCCGTATCTTCGCTATAGCCCAAAAACTTTCCTCTTAATTTCCTAGTGCGCTGTCTCCACTTGGTGTCTACACTCCTCATGTATAAATAGCTGAAAACCTTTCGTGCCCATTGCTCCCCGTCCATTAGCCTCAACCTATCCTCAAATTCTACCTTGCTCACCGCTTCCCTGCTCTCAAATGATGCCCATCCCATGTCTCCTTGTACTCCCTGGTTTGGCGTTTTGCAATGTGCCCCCAAAGCCAGTCTACCTACTCCGCGCTGTTTTATTTCTAGTTTCGCATGCACTTCGGATTTCATGCATAGCACTGCGTTTCCAAAAGTCAAGCCAGGCACCATGACCCCTTTCCAAATCTCTCTCACCACCTCATACCTGTTGTAATTCCAAAGTGCTCTATTTTTCATTACAGCTGCATTTCTGTTGCCCTTACCTATTATATACTTTTCATGGTCTCTGAGATATTCTGCACCATCACATATCCATACTCCTAGATACTTGTATTTACTAGCTCTCTCAACTGTAATATTCTGTATCTTCAGCCTCTCAACTTCATCCTCGTTAAAAATCATGACTGCCGATTTTTCGCTACTGAATTCTAAACCTAATTCCTCTCCTTCCCTACCACAGATGCTCATTAATTCCTGCAACTCTGTCCTGTTGTTAGCCATTAGTACAATATCATCCGCATACATCAATCCCGGTAAGGATTGCTGAATTTTTTGGCCTAGCTTACTGTAAGAAAGGTTGAACCCAAGCCCACTCTTCTCTAGTCTATCCTCCAATCCTCTCAGATACAACATAAACAGCAAAGGCGATAACGGGCACCCCTGCCTAAGGCCTCGTCTTATCTCTATTTTCCCTGTCGCCTTTCCTTCCCATGTTATAATCACCTTGTTATCTTTGTAAATGTTCCTTAATAGTGCTGTTAGTCCTTCATCTAGGTTTAAGTTCTCCATTATGTCCCACAGGTTTCTTTGGTTCACATTGTCATAGGCACCCTTGATATCCAGAAATGCCAGCCAGAGCTGTCTGTTTTCTTTTTGCGCTATTTCTATACACTGTGTTAGAGAAAATAAGTTGTCCTCCAACCTTCTTTGTTTTCGAAACCCGTTCTGTAACTCGCCCAGTATGCCCTCGCAATCTACCCATTCCTCCAGTCTGTTCTTTATAATCTGCATTACCAACCTGTAAATAACCGGTGTCACGGTTATAGGACGATAATTCCTAATATCAGACTTATCTCCCTTTCCCTTATATATCATACTCATCCTACTAAGCCTCCATTCATCTGGAATATTTCCTTTTGTTATCATGGTACTCACTACCTCCCTTAGTTTTGCCTTAGATTTAGGACCCAAATTCTTCACCAGCTTAATAGGGATACCATCTGTGCCTGTCGACGTGCCACTAGGGACTCTTCGTTCCGCCTTTTCCCATTCTCTTTGTCCAAAATCCGCGATGTCACAAACTGGACTGCTACTTCCTTCGGTTCTCCTATCTTCCACATGTACCCGTTCCCGAAATTTCTCCTCCATCACTGCTCCTATATATTGTATCGCATCATCTCCCTCTAATTGATCTCCCTGATGCGAGAGTATGAACCTCTGTCTAGCTTGCGTCGTTTCACCGAGTGAGTTCAAGTGCTCCCAAAACTTCTTGGCAGCGTTTCTATCTTTCTTACTTACATTACTCATCCATTCCTCACCCTTTCTCTGAATTTTCGCATTGATCAAACTGGATGCCTCTCGGCGACGTGTTATAAAATTGTCCCATTTTCTTTTTACTTCCGTTTCGGACTCCCCACTACGCTTGGAATACCTGTGTTCTCTAGAGGCTTCCTGACGTTTTTGTATCGCTTGCTTCACTTCTTTGTCCCACCAACTTTTTGGTCTATGTCCTTGCTTCCCCTTTCGTTTACTCTTAACTTTGTCTAGTTCTAGAGCAAAAAGCCTAGTTAGGCTCTCATAGGTCCAATCTGTATGCCGTTGCCCTGAAACTGCTGCCTCTATTCTTTCAACAACTATTTCCAACTCTTTGTCGCTGCAGAAAGTTTGCTTTGAATTATGTTGTCTAGTTTCAGCATTCACTTCTCTGGCAAAATTCAGCTTAATACGTTTGTGATCACTACCAAGACTTTTGGAACCTTCTTCATCTATTTTCATTACTTGTAACTTACCATATATTTTGTGTGACATGAGTACGTAATCTATAGTTGAATGTAGATTGCCAGTTTCCCAAGTTATGTGCCCGTCACACTTCTGACTGGTATTACATAAAAACTAAATCATCTTTTCCACCAGTTCTAGTAATATGCTTCCAGTTGAGTCCGTATACCCATCCAGGACCCTCAATATGGGCATTCATGTCTCCCATAATAATTATTTCGGAGCCTTCCCTAGTTCTACTAATGTCTCTTGATATGCAATCAATCATTTTTCTGTTTTCCTCTTTAGCACCTGTCCCTGTCCATAAGTAAACCACTCCAGGACTGTTGATTCCCCAGCGACTTTTCCTTTCAGCCACAAGTGTTCGGCGCACTCCTTTCTGAACCTTTTGAAAGTTCATATTCTTCTTAATAAATGCTCAATTCCACCTCCCTTCCTCGTTCCCTCCATTCTGTTGCATTCTTCCCACACATAGTCAGGGTTGCAAGGTGGCTGCTCCATGTCTCTGTGATGTGTTTCCACAAACCCATACACCATTAAATCCTCCTTTCTTAGTTGCTCCTCTACCTCTTCCATTTTAACCTATTTTCTACCACCCTGCATGTTAATATATCCAATGTCTGATTGTGCTGTTTTTTTATACCTGTTCTTACGTTTTCTCCTCTTTTAACCCTGGGTGCCTCTCCTGACTTTGTTGGGTTTTCAGTTACTTCAGTGCCCCCAGGGCCCTCGGTCCCCCCCAAAAAAGCAGTCACCGTGCGGCCCATTCTATCCCCCACCCTGTATCCCGTGGCCTCACTGTAGTGAATGCCATCTGCAAAAGGGCGGGAGCCAGCCTCGTACACTTCTCTGTTTACTTCCATTACGTCGTACCGAAGCTGTCGACTCATACCCTTAATTACTCCGTTGGCTTCGACAACCCTCCTCTCCGTTAACCCGGACTGCCCCCGAACCTCTTGAATGGTGCACACAACCACATGCACATTCTCAGACACGTCCCTCAGCTTACGTATTCCCACGTTTAGCTGCTTTCCGAGGTTCTGGCTCCTACCCTTCAACACATCATTAAGCCCCGCGTGAACTATTACTAGGTTCCTTCCCTCCCGGTTATCCCACACCCCCTCACGTGCTGCGGTCATAGCATCCACCATACACTTCCCTGGCTGGACCTCTACGGTTACCCTCTGGTCTCCCTTCACCCTGTTATGTACACCCTCCTAACCCGTGCTACGTTAGAGCTCCCCACTACCAGTACCCTAGATCCCCCTGGTGCCTGCGCGCCTTTGTCCTGCGACTTAATATCCTGTCCACCTGACTGCCCGACGCCTGCTGCTCGAAGGCGCCATTGAGCTGAGGTTCAATCAGCTCTCCAGCGTCGTCGAGCCCGCTGCCAACAGGCCGGACTCCCCGACCACCAGGGACCCCAGCCTGCTGAGACTGGTGGTTCGTCCCGCTAGAACTGACACTTCCTCCTTTCTTCCCTCGCTACTCTCACTCGCTCGAATTACCCCTTCCAGGCGCTCTACCCCACTGTCACACTCCCTCTTACGCTCCTCTAAACCCGCCTTCCATACTTCCCCCAGCTCTTCCGCCTGCTTCTACGAGGCCGACCCGCTGCTCCCTCTCATGATTAAGCTGCCTAGTCAGCTCCTCTACCTGGGCCTCCGAGACCCACCCGCTTCTCTCCTTCTGCCTTAAGCTGGGCCTCAATCTCCCGCACCTCTACCCTCCCATTCCCCAGTTACCTGCTGAAGCTTCACACAAAGCCGACACTCGAAACTCACCTCCGCCGCCACCTCCAGGCTCCCGAAACCCGTCTCCCTCCAGGTAACACCACCTCCCACACCCCTCGCACTGCACCAAC